ATTTGCAGTATGATTTTTGTCTTCAGGTCAGGCATTGCTGAAGGTCTGCAACACCGTGTTCTCCACATACAAATCATAAATCTTTTGCTCTTTTGCTTTCACCCCATCCTTCTTTCTGATAAAATTGAAGCTACTCTAAACCACTTCTTCCCTCCTAATACAAAGAAAAAGGTAGCATTTTTCCCCACTGCCATCTGTGAAGCCTCATTTTATATTAGTGTAATTAATTTTTGTTCAAATTCAGATCATGAGAGAGATTGATAAGGGTCTTCACTGTAATGTAGAAACTCTATACAAACACGTTGCTTCTTGCCATGGTGTTTTACTGGTGAGGAGGCAGAGGGAAAACATCTCTCATCACTGTCCTCACTCAGGCTGTTTTATGCAAGTTTACTTATGCAAGCAGTGTATGAGTAATTTCACAACAGTCAGTTAAAACATGCGGATCTGATTTGCAGCCAAATGCTAATGCTTGAGTTAATGAGATGGGTAGAAGAAGGTAACAAATTGGTAAGGAAAATATAATTGATAGAAGTTAAAACCTTTTCTGTGTTTGGTTGTTTTTGTTCTTGTATCAAGATGTAGACATTTGAAACTTAATGCTTTCTAATTTAATTAAATGGAGAGAGAACCAATTTTACTGTAAGATTTGGGTTTTTTATGTACTGGGAAATAGAAGATTTAATTTAATTTTATTTTTATGTATAGGCACTTTTAGAATTTAGGAACACAGCCAGAGTCTACATTAAAATAGTTTCCTAATTCTTATCTGTCCAGCAGGCTTCAGCTGAGAAGGCAGCTTTTGCAATAAGAAATGAAGTATGTGATAGTTACAGTACATTTAATAGAATTATTTTTCAGTGTGTCCTTGTGAATTTTTGGAAGAAACATGAAAACAATCAGTAGAGCAATAAATGCATTTTGAAAGACTGGGAAACCCCATTGGACTTACTCATGAAGAGAAAAAAACCTCAAATACACTATCTCCTTGTAAAATACAGTGTTTCTCAACTGAGCGCTGTTGGCAAAAATGAAGGAATGTGGTTAGAGCATGATTTAGGGTACAGGCGACGTAACAAAAAGGGTGACTTTTTTTTTACCATCTCTCAACAGCAATAGTAAAATTGATATGTTTGTGCTTGTCTCCTGAAACAAAAATCCTTCAGTGCTTTTTAGTGTTGTCAGGAGGGATGCGCAGGGATAGCGAGCAGCGTGGTGACCCAGATACAAAAGGCACCACAAAACAGTTCCAGTTCATGTTTCTTCTACAGATCAGCAGCAGGAGGAGAAGTTGAGTGATATTGGGAACAAAATGGTTGACAGGTCTTCTAGTGCATTTCCCTCTGTAGAGGATTTAAATAACCCAGGGCCATCTTTTTTTAATCTTTCTTTTGAGCTGCTAACAATTGACTCAAAGTGTTAATAAAAATACAGACAATATCTGCTAGGTTAATGACAGGTCAGGCTAGTAATGTTAAGTTTATCCTGATAATTAAATAAATACATTTAAAGGTGGACTCTGCACCATCCCAGAAACTCAAGTTTTTGACTCTGGATAGACACCACAAGTAAATCCCCAAAGTTTCTGTTTACTGTCATGCTTTTAGGTATCCCCACATAAAAGATGAGTAGTGTTACTCTCATACGCATAACCATAATAGTGAGAGGAAAGGAGGAGAGCTGGTCCCTCGTTCCAGATGTTGCAAAGATGGCAGGACTGGGCAGACAGAAGGGTATAATAGGGTGTAGTTCAAGAGGGAGTAGCAGTGGCTTGCTAAACAGCTGGCTTCGGGGAAAAAATACTTTATGAAATAATCCTGCTCTGTTGTTTCTTAACCAAGAGAGTGTCTGAAACAGATTGTCTGAGGTAGGGAGTGCTCTGATCGGATTTCCACATTAAGAAGTCATTATGCCAGAAGAGCTGTAGAGGGACTGCAGCTTGTGGCAGAAGATGGCCCTGATCAGTGACTGAGGGCATTAAAATACTTTCAGACGGAAAGGAAACACTGGGTGGTACTTACTCCTGATGCACCTGCAATGCTGTGTCTTGAATTTTTGGCCTTGGTGTTGTGCCCACTTCTGTAGCATCCTACAGTAGGTATAAAGATCAATTCCAGGGTAGTATGTTTTATTTTCAGACTCAATAAAAGTTACCTGAAAAATTCTTTGTAAGTATATAATGAAGAATAGTGGCAGAGAGCACTGAAGGATTCATTGTCATGTATTAAAACTGAATGCAGACTTCCCATTTGTTTTCCATACCCAAGGGATAAATTTTAATCTTTCTTGGTAAGTGCAAAATAGGAAGAACGGATTCATAAGCTGAATTTGGAACCGTGGATGTTTCTACTTGTCCTTAAAATACATTATTAAACAACTATGAGCAATTTTCTGCATTAAGATGAGCATAGCTGGGTTACTGTGCCCTTCTGACTCTGTTTGTCTAACCATAAGTTGTGAGCAGTGATACCAACCTGGTTCTTACAGCACCTGAAGATGAAATATTGAAAAGCACTGAGAAGCAGCCGGGTTTTCAGCACTGGGTGGGCTGTGCTGAATGGTAGAGGAGAGAAACATTTAGGAAAAGAATGAATGGTGTCCTAAAAGTGGTATGAAAGCCAAGAAATTCGTATCTGTATGGAAACATCCAGCCTCCCTGGAAGTGGGTGGCTTAAATTTCTTTTGCCAAGAAGCAAGAAAACATCACAGTAAAGAATTTTAGAGGTGTTAGATAGACAGTGCCTTTTTTCCAGATTAATTTAAAATATTTGTTGTCAGATGACCCGTCTGCCTGTTGATTAAATCTCTCCCTTCAATCTGCTTGAGTGGAAATCTGGGCACACACAGAGGAAATGACAGCCTGGGCTGTCTGCTTCCTAATCCCTTGTTTGACTTCTGTGTAATAAAAACAAAAGCAACACTAAGCTTTTAGAATCCCCTTTGTTTTGTTTCAGCATTGGCTGTTTAATATGTAACATTTCAGCGGGGGAAGATGAAACATCCACTATCCGTAGCTTATTTCAACTGCAAGTTGAGACTCAGCCGTCAAAAATTAAATGATCCTGACCCATAACACATTTCAAAAAGAATCTTGAAGTCAGTTCTACCTGGTATAATTTCAAAGTAGGTTGAGTTTTTTTGTTTCAAGACTATGGAAGTCATAGTTCCAAGTTTATGTTCCCTCAAAAACTCAACCTTTTTTAATTTATTTTTTTTTTTCAAGTGTTCCCTAGTTTTAGAAACCTGTAAATCTGGGAGCGGGTTCAGGTCTAGAAAGTGGGTGTTCATCCCCTACTGCCTGTTTCTGTGAAATGTATTCTAACACAGTACACTTCTTCCAAATACATGGATATGTGCTCCTGGCAGAATGAGCAATTAATGCCTATGCAATGTAACTACTAATTTTGCTCTTGTCTCAGTTAACTGCAAAATCAATAATAAGTTAATTTGCTTATGAGAACTTCCCCTTCTCAGTGCAAATGGTGGAGTGAGCATGCATACTGGCTTTTGGTGATAAAAGAAGGATTTAAAGGGGGCATTTAGGAAATTTGCAGCAGATACTTTGCCCAGCTTCAGTTTGCTGCTGCTCTTGACAAGGATTCGACCCAGGCACACAACTGCTGTGCAGCTTGCTGCAAATCGGGATGACAGCTTGCTGTCACAGCTTGCAAAATGAGTTTGCATGAAGCTTGTCTATACTGTCCCTGGCTCTTCCAGCCAGTGCTGTTACAAGGCTTCTGCTTTGAGAAGTGCAAAGTTCATCTTTGCTTTTGCTCTTTCAACAAGTCTGTGCATCTGATTATAACTCTAGCTTATTCTTTTTAATCCTAATAAGGACATTTTTTTTTTTTCATTTCAGATTCTGTCAGTGGGGATGGAGAAAAGGTGTTTTAGACAGTAACAGCTAAATAATTATTCCCTCGTATCTTTTGTAAGCTCTTTACGAAGGGTCGGGCTGGACTCGAAATTTGGAAAAGAAAGGAGGATTTAAGCACCTAAATTCTGCCAGGGCTGCGACTCCACTCCCCTAAGTGTCTTGCTCCACTAATGCCTGAAACTGGAGGCACCTTGGTTTGCTGAGTGCCTTTCTGATGAACTTGGAAGCTTTTCAGTTGCCTCCAATTTGGCTCATGTGGCTGACTGGCATATTGTAATCTAAGCAGCCTTGCTCCCAAATAATCCCCCCTGGGATCAAGAAACCCAGTAATTAAATGTTTTGACCAAGGGCCTGATCTGATAGATGCTTTCAGAGAGAAACATTTGTGCAGCAGTAGGGCTGGGCTCCTTGCAAAACACATCTGTGGATTTGAAGAATCATGGGAATGCCCTGCTGCCAAGGAAAAAAAATTAACTTCCATTCCCTACTCTATCAACAGCCACTTGATGCTTGTTTCAGGTATCACCAATGTTGAAGAGCGTTCTGTCTCCTTTGGTTCTGTGTAAGGAAATACTTACGTGCCTATTTCTAGAAGGTTGTCTCTGGGTGGATGGAGGTTGCTGAGCTCTGGAGAAGGCCAAGGTTTCAGCAGCATCGGTTGGATGATTCTTGGTGACCTCCTCGCTCATTCTGCTCATTCCTTCGACCCCATGCTGGAGTGCTCTGTGCTGGTGCATGGCATGGGGAACTGGGTGCCTACCAAAGGTTTCTGGGTTTCTCAAGGAAGCACATACCTGCTTTACAAGGCTGTAAATCAAGAGCAAGCACTGAGTGCAAAACTCTGGCCTGCCCCAGCCTTGCTCAGACTTGACCTGTTTTATCTGAAAGAACCATTTGAGGTGGGATTGTTCATGCATATGGAAAGCAGTTGCTTTGAACTGGCAGGGGAGCACACGAATGGAGGTGAACTATTTCACGTGGCTGTTACTGCTTTGTGTTAAAGGGTGGCTATTTTCTCCATGCATACTGTGTTTGCAGTTGGCACCTGTGTACAAGGATGTTTTACTCCGTTCTTACGTTGTCCGCGTGTGTTCTTAATGAGGTTTTGTTCTACCTCTTGTAGGCAGTCACTTCTTTCATCGTAACTCTCTGTCCCCTCGAAGCCTGGTCTACGAGAGTGAGTTCTCAACCATCGAGCCTGCCTTGGACATGTATGATGAGAACAAAACCTGAAAGGAATCTATGCTCCTTCCTGGCCCTTTTTCCGTTTTTTTCATTTCTCATTCCTATTGTTGTGTACTCTTTCCATGGATCTCCTTTGTCTGAAGAAGAGCTGCTTTTTCCAGAACACGAACCCACCTTCTAGATTGCAAAGATGAAGACCAGCTGTGGTGGTTTCTGAGGGTGGCATCTTTGAGCTGACAAAGAATTGCACACAAGCAAGATTGTCTGATGGAAATTGATGAGTAACAGCATGGGGAGCTGTGTCGGTCCAGCCATGGCGATGCAGAAGAGGTTTTGTGGTGGTCCTAAGAGTTTGTGTTGTACTGCAAATGCGTCTCTTACACAGGCATCTGCTGTTTCCATTATTTTAATTGTCCAGATGGTTGGGCATTGTCAGAAAGGGAACTGGTTGTAGAGGAGATGACCACTGACTGGTAAAAGCACTCGTATATCTCGGTGAATCCATAACCTTACTGTGAAGTAGCCCCTTCTGAAAGGGACCTTTAAGTGCATTGAATTTCCTACAACCCACGTAACCCCGGACAATAGCAAACCAGTCTGATGTTAAAGCTGCAGAGAGGACCTGCATTTGCAGAAAGATTTCAAGGAACTCGACGCTTGTTTTTTTCTCCAGTTCGATTGAAGCAGGAGAAAAATGGCCTACACAGAATATACTTTCAGTCCTTCCGTGTGCTCAAGTCAAGTGAGTCTCTTTCTGTAGAGAGGGCATTCACAGAACCAGCACTTGATCTACCTGAAAACCATTAGACTTTTTGAAATATGCAGGAATCTAATTAGCTTTCTTTCTCAGTTAACTTTTTTTTTTGGGGGGGTGGGGTGGGGGAGTGGGAGGCGGTGTTTAAAAAAATCCTCCGAATTTTTCACTGAAGTTTTTTAAAAGCCAGCATGTTGGCATTACACAGAGAAGAAGAGAGGTAAGCTTATTATCCCATTCTCCCGTTGAGATCTGCAACAGTTAAAACAGCAAACACGTTCTCTAAGCCGTGCCCTCTCCCATTGACATCAATGATGGGAATGTAGAAAGCAGCAGAAAAAAGGAAAGCAGCAACTGCTTTGACACGCTGCAGGAAAAATCAATTTTTACTGGCATGTGACAAAAGCGGTGGGGAAATGAATATTGTTTGCAAGCTTCTGAAAGAGTAACGCAGAAATGGAGAGTGAGACAGGAACCTCTGGAGTTGTCATCCACAGCATTCCTCAAATGAGCAGACATGGAGGAGCGAGGGCTCCTGCTTCACCTTTTCCTACTGGACAATGAATAGCTGTTTAATGAATGTTTGGATTTTTCTCAGTGCAGTCGAAGTTACTCTAGGTGTAGAAATGCATTTGTGTCCTTGTAATGTGAAACAAAGCTTCACCTTCTATATAGGAATCTTGAGAATCTTGAGAAGTTAAGCCAAAAAGAAAGGTAAGACATACCCTGCCATGCTTTAATTTCATCTGCTTTTGCTACAAGTGGGGGAATTTCCCCTTCTTTATTATGTTTTTTAATTGTGTAGCAGTCTGCTTAACATATATCCTTACCTGAAGTGTGATTCAGCTGTGTGTTTAACACAGATGTTTAAGAGAAAAAGAAAAACCCAGCTCTGTAAAATGAGGAAATGATCCTCTTTACTGAGCGTGCTTTGACTTTTGTTGCTGTGCGTCAGCTTTATTTAATCTGATAATTCAAGAGTGGGTGGTGTGAAGTGTAGAGAGGTTTTTCTCATAATACCCACATTTATATTTACTAAATGCACTTTTATTGTCATTCAGCTCACTCTAGAAATACATTTAAACCCCAAACTTTTTAAGAGCACAATTTTAACACCCACTTTATCCTGCAAAGCAGAGTGAAGGTCACAGAAAATGGCAGTCAGTGGCTTGAGCAGCAGCAGGTCATGGTCAGCATCCTTCATCTCTTTGCAGATGTACAAAGAGGGGCAGCTCTTGACAGCACTGGCAAGCCCGGGCAGAGCTCCCAAAGCCAGCCTGGCTGAGCTGTGCCCAGGCCCATACAGCGCTCGGGGGCGGCAGAAGGGCTGATTGAGCAACCCCTGTTTTCATAATTACATCTGCCAGGTCACAGCAGGCAGGCACGCAAGAGCAGAGGCCTTCCGAAAACAAGCGCCCGAGAGAAAAATCACCATCTCTCCCAAGGATGTTTTAGGGCTTGTTTTCATCTGTGGTGGGCAGTCAGGTTACAATAAATTGACAAACACCTGGGTGTTCATGGTTAAATACAAAAATGCCTGGGTGTCTCCAGCACGCACGCGACAGCCTCCCCTGTGCCGCAAGCCCCGGCCACTGGCACCGCAGCGGCTCGGTGCAGCGCCCCGCCAGTGAGGATTTGGGTAGGAGAGCCCGTTGCCGCGGGGCGTGGGTGCTCCAAGCAAATCCTCCTTGTAGGGGCTGCCTCCGACTGACGTGAGGATTTGCCCCAAGGCCGCTGGGAACGTCATGAGGGCACAGTTTCGGCACAAAACCAAAACCAACGGTTTCTCAGCTCCAGCTGAGACCGTTTGCACCAGCTGTGTACCAGAGTGTACAGCAAAGCTAGAAAAGGCATGGAAATTAAAAGAAACGTTAGAAAGTACAAAGCCCCCAAAGACAAAATAATAAATAATGTCAATTGTATTTTGTTAAATCTCCTTATTTCTAACCTAACATCTTGGTTTAAAGCAGGGGGAGGGAAGGTTTGCCTCTGGAGATCAGGGTCTGGCATAGTGATATAAAAATGGATTTGTGCTGTAGCATCTTGGATAAGGGAACTGACGATTATAATTGACATCCTGGATTTGGAAAATCTTGCAACACTGGAAAAATTAAAAGCTAGTTCAAACAATTGATCCCTACATGCGTGCTGGGACGTGCTGTAGCAGGCGTTCTACTTAGCCATATTTAGGATGGGGAAGAGGCACCACAGCAACACGAGTAATTTTTCTGGGCTCTGCTGGTAAGTTTGAGGTTTTCCTTTTAATATTAATCAGTATATAAAAAAAGCTTGATGAGCATCGTTGTTCTTGTTCTGCTGCACTGGTGCTGTGTACGGTTGAGTCATTTCATAGAAGTAAAATATACTGCAATCTACCAAGAACTGTAAGTGCCAGTAACTTGGAAAATAATTTTTAAGGTTAAAAAAAAAAAAGTGCTTTTTAACAGATACATTAATTTTATGACTTCTACATATAAAAAAAGCTTTTATCTCCAAGTGTTTCCGTAAACTATTTAAACCCTAGCACTTCATCTTCTCTTTCCCAGCCTCCTGTTCTGTGAAAGTTTTGCATGTTCCCGTAAGACATTTGTAAAATCAAGGCTTGCTTGTGTTCTTAGAGGATAACCGCCAGTAAAAAAAAACAGATTGTAAGTGTGCTTTTTTACCTATAATACTAACATTAAGTATTAAATTTGAAGCATGTTAAAGTTTACTTAATGACACTCATGATTACTCCCTTCAGTGAGCTCATGTGTTGGTATCTGCACTGTCCCCTTGCTTCTAGGATGCTTGCTTTGGCACCTGAGGATGCTATAGGAATAGCCAGATATCCAACATAAGCCAAAGAAAGACCAAAAATAGTTAAATAAATGTGTTTAGCACTACGTTATGAGACTTTCACACATCTGTTTTCTTTAAACACGCTCATGTTAAACAGTGCAAAGGCTCGGGAGAGCCAAGAGCTTTACCAGCTATTGAAAAGCAGAGGGAGGTCTGCAGGAGGCAAAGGTCACGCTGAGGCTCCAGGACTCATTTAGCCCAATTTAGCTTTGAGATAATGCCGCAGTCATAGGTCATGAGCTGAAGGATGAAGGCACCAGGGTTGAGCTGAAGTTCAGGCAGCTCTGCAGCCTGATTACTGGGGCGTGAGTTGACTTAATTGTTAAAAATATGTATTTTTTTGCTTAGCTAATAGTCATCTGTTTTTTTACAACAAAGACAGCAGCACAGCAGCGCACAAGCCAAGGCACGGTGGGGCAAATACAAGAGCCATGGGGCTGCTGCCAGCCCTGCGGGTGGGGAGAGAAGGGCAGGAGGGCTCAGGGCAGGGACCCCAGGAAACACCTTGAACTTCATAAGTGAAGCTTTCGCTGCTTTTTCACCCCAGTGTTACACATCCATATGTGACCTAATTTTCCAACCGGGGCCGTGCAGAAGAATGCATGATGTGCCATGACAGCTTGCATATGTGTTGTTATATTTAAATATATCTTCGCTTTTTCCTTTCCCTGCTAGACTTGCTGCACCGCAGGGTACTGCCATAAGGGCAGACTGTGCTCCGGCTGGGTGGAAACCACTGAGCAGGGGAGGGCGTGAGAGAGGGAAAGATGCTCCAATTAACCAGACTGGGGGGAAATCAGGAGAAAGGTAGACTGTACATCTGCAGGTTGGTGCTCATTTCTGCTTTGTTTCTAATGTCTTTGAACAAAAAGTGGTATGCCCCACAACCCTTCCTTGTGGGATGCAGTGACAAGAGCAGGGCTCCAGATGGGATTTTGCTCCCAGCATGGGGCCACGGTGCTGCATAACCTCCAGTCAGTCATGTCCTGACCTGTTGGACAAAATCCTAACCTCACAGGGGCCCGTCAGGTTTACCTGGTGCTTGTGAAGTGCTTTGGGGGGATGAAAGTCACTCTCATGAGCCTTTGCAAAGCAACACTAATTGACGCCTTTTTATCTATGTCAGTTGTTTGATCCTTTCATTCACCTACTCCTTTTAAAAGCCTGTAACATTCCCAAACACTCTTATTTTTCCCCAACTAATCTCTGCCTTTCCACCCTATTGATTACTACCGGTTTCCTCCTCCTCCTGAGAGCCGGGTGAAGGTCCCTAAAGTGCAGGCACTGCCATCCACCCGGCCTCCAGCATCTTCATCGCCGTGCTGTCACCATGCCAGCCAGCCCCTCGAAGGGGATTCAGCGCTCTGAACCAGCATCATGGTCCGTGGAGGCACGGAGGTTCCCGCTGGGTTGTTCCCGGCCACATGGGCTGTTGTGGGATGCTTGTTCTGTGGATCCCTGCATGGAGCATCCTTTCACTCCTCAGCCCACTAGCCTCATGGAGATACTGAGATGAAGAGAGCTGGATGTGTAGGTTGTGCAATAATGTCTGAATATGTATTCTTTTTATGGCAATAATGTCCAGAGTCTCTAGGCATGGGGGGCCCTGTGGTATAAGGCGTTGCCCTAAAATAGACCCTTCCATAAAAGGTTAATTATTAAGTATTAATATTCCTGCAAGGTAAGAAGTACATAGGGTTTTATTGAAAGTTGAAGCTATTGAAAGTGGTTTCACTGCAAGGCTGAAGTGTAACGTGAGCTAGTGTTATACAGCTGGGACTGGGGTTTCACAGCCCCAAAATCTGCTGGACATGCAAGTAAAGGCTCGCTTGCTGCTGCCAGGCACAGGCTATTCCCTCCTCGGCTTGCATACACCAGCAGCTTACTGCGGCTGAGCCCCTCAGGAGCAAGACGCTTTTTAATCTTTGCCCTGAGCTCAGCTCTGTGTGTTTGCTGTATCATTTGCCTTTTTTTTTTTGCTGCTTCCCACTTGCTCTGGGGCTCACCTTTGCTTTGCTCTGACTTGATCTTCAGCTTCCCAAACCCTTCAGGGTGCCCAAGACCCATTAATTCCCAACAGAGCAGCGCTGCTGGGTTGTGGTAACGGCACCGGATCGATAGATCTGCTCTTGATCTACCGTGCTTGTGCCTGTAACACCCTCTGGCTGTCTTGGGCAGTAAAGGCTTTATCTGCCTGCAGCCTTTGCACTACCTGGGCTGCACTGAGAGGACCTTCCAGAAAACAACACAACAGCTCAGCAACCCTCCCATGCTCCAGCATGGGAAAGTTTGGGCTTGAAAATAAAGTTGACACTCTTTGCTGCTCTCAATCCAGGAAGGTTTAATAGGGCATTTGGGGCTGTTAAAGCAAAGCTCCTGTTTGCAGATTCGTGCAGTTCCTGCATTGCAGCCAGCAAGGCAGTGTCCCAAACTGTCAACTGACAGGGGTCACTTTGCGTTGGCACTGTGAAAAAGAAGCTTTCTCAGTTGCCATCACATCAGCAGGTAGACTTTTCCACCCCGTTAAGTCTAGACTTAACTCCCAGCACTGGTAAGATTGGTCACACTAGTCCTATAATGGGGGATAACTTTTCTGAGCAAACTGAGTGATAGCATCGCTCCTCTGCTTATCCAGTCAGCCCTGCTGCAGTTTGCAAGTAAATGTTAAATACTAAAAGCTTCTCTGTACTACTGTGCCTATTTGGGATCATCTGCTCGAGGCCATGGCTAACTATGCACAGAATCCACCAAAACGGGATCATTTTATCCCAGCAGAGAGGGGACACTCCAGCCTTTGGGCTTGGGAAACTGCAGCAAACAAAAACAAAACAAAAAACAATTTGCGTCTGTGTAAAATGAAAAGTCTGTTTCAACTGCCTTGCTGCAAGGTGTACCACACTGGTGTGACCACGTAACATAAAAACTCCAGCAGGCCCCAGGGGTCCGGCCAAGTGACAGGGACGCTGCAGGGATGCAGGCGGTGCGGTGCCCTCCCAACAGTCAGATCTTTCCAGCCCTTGTGAAATTGTAGCTTGACAGCAGCAGAACTTCTTGACATGTTTTGATGTACGTATAACACTGTATCGTAGTTACGTGGTATATGCCAATATGTTAATAGTGTATACCGATTAGTTAGGGTTTGCTAATGTACTACATTTCAATAAAAAGCAATTTAAAAATGTGGAGTTTGTGAGCTTGGTGTCTCTCAAAATACAGGAGGATGAGAGCATTGCCCAGTGGCTCCAGTCACATATTATATATATATATAAAAATATATATATAGGTATTTCTTATATATATGTATCTTAGAGTACAGTGTGGAACAACACTGTCAAAAGATCCATTTTCAGAGGCTATTTTTCCAACTCTGCAGTAAACATTGTTTTATTTTGCTATATCTCAGGCCACTGAAGGCCACATGGTTCAAAGTGGCTTATGAATATACAGGAGACACTAATCCACCTTCCCACAACATTTGCCACCTGAAAGATGGCACACAGCGAGCAGGAACGTAGACAGTAACACAGAGAAGGATCCCTCAGCACCTTCTCCCAGTGCTTGAACCCTTCCCACAGCACATCCAGCCTTCGGAAAACGCCATGCTGCTCCCAAGCACAACTGTGCCGTCAGGATGAAGGCAGAGCCTTTGAAAGCTCAGCCAGCTAATAAATATTTATATTACAGTAGTGTACAAAGGCTCCAGCTGGGATTAGGGCACTGCATTAACATAGATCATCCCAGGGTTAAAGGATTTATAGCCTAAAGAAAGCACAGCATTCCCGCCTTCCTGGGAGCTGGGCAGTAAGCACAGATATGGTAGATGTCAACATTTTCTGCTGTTCTAACACTTCCAGGGTTTGCGGGGAGGCTCTCTAATGGTTATTCAAACAAGAATAGCAGCTCACTGAGTTACTGGGAAGCTGCTCTGCTGCCACGAGATGAGAAGGAACCACTTCTCTTGCTCTCCTGTTTGCTCCAAAGACTGTCCTTGGACTTGAGCACAAGCCCCACATGGGCTCCAGAGCCCCAAAACGAGAGCCAGAATGAAGCTGGCTGCCAGAGGGGGGATGCTGGGCACCCCGTCCCAGTGGGGTAGATGCTGGTAGTGCCCAGCAGTGCATGTGCTTTGCAGCAAAATGGGTAAATGAACTGCCATCTCCCCAAAAGGGAGATGAAAGCATCGCCAGCCCGGGCAGGAGAGCTGGTTGTGTCCCCGATGTGCAGGGGGCTGGGGGCTGCCGGTGACAGCAACACTTTGGAGGAAGCTGTAGCCCCCTGCAAAGCTGCACCGGGAGCTCCCTGCCAATAAATTACTGCGGGTACAACAGGAGGCAGCACTTAAATAATATTAGTTAATGGCAGCTTCAATGGGTTCCCACGGGGCTGCACAGGAAGATTTTTCATCTGCCTGATGTTTTACTCTATAAACACATTACTCTCAACAAAGTGGAGCCGCCCTGGTAAAAGTCTTTTCGGTGCAGGGTCCCACCGAGAGGTAGAGGAGGGGACCCCCTCTGCAGGGCGCAGGGGGGAGCCCCAATTGCCCACCGAGGCCGATAAGCGGCAGTGCCCGCTCTGAGGGGGACCAGGGCTCGAACCCGCGGTCTCGCCCTCTGCGGAGCCGCGGCCCTCCCCTCCTCGCCACGGCGGCAGGCCGGCCCCGCCCCGCTGCCGGGAAGGGGGGCCGGGCCGCTAGAGGGCGCCGTGGCCGCCGGCGCGGCCCCCGTGACCCGCCGGCCGCTCCCCCCCGCGCCGCCTCCCCGCTCCGGCCGGGCCCGGCCCGGCCCAGCCCCGCCGAACCGAACCGAACTGAACCGAACCGAAGCGAAGCGAAGCGAAGCGAACCGCCCCGCCCCGCCGCGATGTGGCTGGGGCCCGAGGAGGTGCTGCTGGCTGGCGCGCTGTGGGTCACGGAGCGGGCCAACCCCTTCTTCTTGCTCCAGCGCCGGCGGGGACACGGCAAAGGGGGCGGCCTCACGGGTGAGGCGCGGCGGGGCTGAGGGGAGGCTCCGGCCCGGCCCGGCCCGGCCCGGCGCGGGCAGAGGGACGGGGAGCTCCTGCCCCCGCTGCCGCGTCCCCGCAGGGCCCGGCCCGGCGGTGGGGTGAGGGGGGGGGGGGGGGGGACGGACTGCGGGGCTGGCGCTGGGAGACGGGGGTGCCCGGGGAGGGGGATGCAGGCCCCGCCGGGTGAGCGGAGCTCCTGCCGCCTTTGCCTCTCGCTGCCTGTAACACCCCCGCCCCAGCCGCCGGGACGTCCTCGGTCGCAGCTTTGCCCCGTTGTTCGGTTCGCCCCCCGGGCCGGGGGTGCGCAGCGCCGGGCAGCGCGGCGGGGCGGGCTGGGGCGGGCCTCCCCTACCCTGTGCTGCCAGGGAGGACACAGTGCAACCGGGGTGGCTGCGAGGATCTGCTTCCCTCGTCGAAAATGGCTTCTGTGGAATACTGGTGTTGCTTTGAATTATTGAGGTGTTTCTTTCTTTCTTTTTTTTTTTTTTTTTTTTTTTTTTTTCTGGTGGTGTGCTTTTTCAAGATTTAGAGGATGAAAGTAAGATGTTGTTTTTAATTAATACCTGTATGAAAATTGTGCAGTGCTCAGGCCCAGGGGTGAAGTTGTGTGTGTGCAGCCCCATGAAAACTACCCCTGTGTGCGTATGCCTGATAGCCATGTTTGGTGACAAGAAACTGTTAAAATAACATAACTGACCAAGGCACAATGTTAACAACAACAAAAAATCCCCTCACTTCTAAAACACTCCATTCATGTGCAAAATGCTTACACAGTTATGTGAATAACAAAACCGTGCTTTTTACATTTGTGAATTATGCACAGCCAGTGTCACATATTAGCCCTGTTAACCAAATACACTAACTACAGAAATGATATGGCTGATAAACATCCTTGGCATATTTCATCTTTTCACAATGTTCAAAATTAATTACTTTGTTTTATGTAACATAACTTGTGTAATTTTGTATGTAGGCATGTAATTGTATTCTGGGATTTCCTAGGTTTTTTCTAGAACAAATGATGCCTGGTGCTATTCTAGAAACTTTTAAACTGATTTATTCTTGAACGGCTGAAGCTTTGAGCTAGTTCACTCTCAGCTTGAGCTAGTTCACTCTCAGTGAGAGAGTCTTCTTTAGAGCTCCTACATGTTGAAAGCCACGTGTTCTCTTTAAAGAGCTGTACGACTGCAAGTTGACATTTTGGAGTTAGAACGTAGATAATCAGACAAGCTGGAAAGGTGTTTAAGTTGCTGTCGGACTCAGGGTCTTAAGCGTGTCTTGTTAGGGGTCCATATGTCAATATTTGCCACGTTTGCTATTACAGGAAGTATTCAAAATGACTTTTTAATCTGTATTCTGCCTAAAACTGCACGCAAGAAACCTGGAGCCCAAACCGAGATCCTGCTGTGCTGGATACATCCGTATTTTTTTTAAGGCTTACCAGATGAGCTTGCTGTGGATGGTGTTTCTCTTGAAGTATGACCAGTGGTGTGTTTCTAATCTGTTACTTGCTTTTGGATAGCAAGAGAGGTAAAGGGGAGGAAGTAGCATGTTACATGATACTGAATGAGTTATGGATGAGTACAGTTTGCTCAGACTTACCCAAACTGTAGGGAGGAGAGCAGGGAATTGAGCCTGGGCTTCCCCAGTAGTGATCCAGAGGAGCAACCTTGCTCCCTCTCCGAGTTCTAATGTTAGAAAAGTTTTAATCGTGAGGATGTTGCAAAATTAATTTATATTAAAGACTCTCATAGTACATTATCTAGAATAACAAAACAAAGTATCATCTTAGATATTTGATTTATCTAGTAAATAGACTTAATTGAAAAAAATAGATGTACTTTACAAAGTGTGGTGACTGTCAGCATTTATTCTGAAAGTGCCTTATTTTTTATTTAACATCATCTAAAAATATTTTAGCTTCTGTATTACCAAATTTTGATTCTCTGCCTTCTTTGTTTAATCAAAGTACTTCTAGAAACATCACTGAAACCTGTGAGTACCAGATTTTCAAGAGCTATTTGATTCCATTTTGGATTAGTTCTCTTGCCTACTGCTTGCATAGGTGATGCTGAAAGGTACAGCATTGAAAACTCTTCCGTGTTTTAGTTTAGGCTTAAAAATCACTATTAGCAAACAGAAACCCCACAGAGGAAAACACATTTAACTTTTATTAGAAAACTCTCCTAGCAAGGCAGAGAATTATAATGAGGTTTAGTAGACATGTAATTGTCATCTAAACTATCCATTGCCAGTGGGATTGGCTATAGTTGATTTATAAGTAACCTGCTGGAAGTGACTGGATATACGTCTTAATTTTCTCAACCAAGTGCCATTGCTTTTCTATCACAGCATATATAACATGAACATTGGAATTTTTCTGTTGTGTTGATTGATCCTGTATTTGTACTTAACTCAGTTCTTTGTTTTGGAATTATGTTGGTTTAATTTCTCTCTCTTTGCCTCCTAGGTCTTCTTGTGGGAACATTAGATGTGGTTTTGGATTCCAGTGCCAGAGTCGCCCCATACCGCATTCTGCACCAGACTCAGGACTCTCAAGTGTATTGGGCAGTAGCATGCGGTATGTATTGATGTGACTCTTGTCAGGGCCTGGATTTGTGTTATTCTATTGTATTTTAGGTTCAGATGGTCAGTTATCCTGCATAGGATTATTCTGTGAATGCTTGGGAAACTTCCTAGGGCTTCTGGCAGGATAGTGGAAGATGCCAGAAATGACAGAACTTCTTAGTGTTGCTTAAACTGTAGTTTGGGAACTTAAGGTTCTGTAAAAGCTTCTGTTTCTGCAAATGTTATGAATTTTCTTTCTTCCAAGGTGTATCTGTTCGCAAGGTCATTGTGAGATTTTTCAAATAAAAAAATGTGATTATAAGATTACTGTGGGATGATGAGTATTGTGCCAAAACCTGCTTACCAGGAACACGGTACAGGATGGGAACATGTAAGGTTGGTCAAAGTGCCAAACACTCTTTGGGGAATCTCTTTAATGGCTTGATCCAATTTACTTTTCTCCTGTTACTTCTGGCCTGTAATAGATGTATATATATACTATATCTGTAAAATATATTACAATAATAGTTTTTAAAACATCAAGAATCTTTGGCCTCTTTTACTTGAGAAATGTAACTGCTGTATTAGAATATCATGGTATAACCTTCTAATACCTGGTGGTGAACTTTGATTAAGGCTTTAGGTCCTACTGGTTGCTAAAGAGAAAATATCTTCAGACGTATTTGTTAGACCAACTTTGTTTATAATAAGAATCTTCACTTCTCACTTTGTGGTTGAGATGTAAAATCTGAGCATGAAGTAGTCATTTTCTAAGCCCACAGATGTTGATGTCTTGTTTTTCCTGTTCCCATTTTCTCCCCAGGCAACCAGCACAATATTCTCCCTTGCAGAGCTACATAAATTGTGCAGCAGAGAGGTTTAGAAGTTGCTGTGTTTCACAGGAACTCAGTTGCCCTTTTGAGGAAGGCAAAAGCAGAGAGGAAGAAAGACAGAAAACAAAATGGCAGGCCAGAAACTACATAGAAAAAAACAGAATATTTAGTGGCTGCATATGGTGCAAATGTGAAAGTTTATAGTATCTTCACACTAAATGAGCGTGTTATTTTTGTACTATTTCAGGAGTGTTTCAGTTGATACCCTCTGTATCTTAGTTACTTTTAAATAATGCAGCATAGTCAAATGAGATAGGCTATATTACAACTGAATGGAGTTTGATAATTTATTATACTGGAATAAATACATTGTCTTCATCCGAAGTATTTTTTTAATCATACCTGGTTCTTAAGATAAGAATACTGGCATTCACTTAAAGTGATAAAATGTATATGGCTCTCTATTTGAAAAATGCATATCTTTTATTTATGATTTATTATGTGTAAGTACTAGTGGGCAGCATTGTGGTCATGCATGCAGCTTTGGCCTTTCCACACTTTGTTCTTACACCTCTCTTTGTAGGAATTGCAGAATTTTACTCTTTCATATATGTCATTCTTATGTTTTTCTTAGAAAGATCAATTATTGAGGTCTGACTTATTTTAGCAATTTGTCTGCTGTCACTTGGTGAGAGATGCAGCTGATGAAACAAAACAGAACACTGTTCCCCTGTCATTGTTACTGGACATGCGGGTTTTTTCCACAACCAAAGCATCCTATAATTGATAATTCTGTGCCCTTAAAATAAGCCATTTCATATTACTCAAAAAGAAAGTCAGGTAGAGCAGTGGCTTTAGGGAACTGCTTGTCTTTGCTGCTTTCTTCTTTTCCATCATTAACCACACGGAGGGGTCTAATGTACTTGCAGAGAAATCAAGTAGTGGGAGGCATGCTGTTAACGTTTTTAGATATCCCACTGCTTTTGTATGAAACTTCAGAAGATAAATTCACTGGAATTTGGCAAAGAAAAACTTACAAATGTCTCTGACTTGTATTTAAACAGATTTCCTTTTGTGTACATTTAATGTTTCTTACCTTGTTAAAAAAAATAATTGCTTTTTTTATTTCTTCTGCATCTTTTTTTCTGTCTGCAAGAGAATATCTTGTAGCTATCAATAGAGAGGAAGAAATCTTTTAGTAAACACAAGTCTTTGAAATTATTAATAACTAGCTAAGGCAACTTTCTATAGAAAAGTTCTTTAAACTGGTTACACAGTGAAACTTATCCTTTTTGAACTGTTATAGACTGCATGGTTAAAAACAACTAACTGATATAAAGTTTGCTGGGATATTTTTATTAAAGAAAGCAAAGAACTTTCTGACATTAATATTTTAGTTGCTTTCTCTACTGACTGTTGCCCATAGAAAACAGAACCTCTTTGTAGGTGTAACAAGTTTGGTTGTTCTGAAATTTCAAGGTTCTTCTGAAACTTCATTATTTTTGTTCTAGAATACCAGGAAGTAAAAGAGTACTTCTCGTCTGGAACATAAGAATGCATTTTCTATGGGAAAAAAACCTGTTTGGTGTGCACTGGCAAATAGGGTGATCTGTTGGGAGTGTGCTGATCATCCTCGGTGGCACATTACATTAGAAACATAATGTTGGTGTACATAAAATATTCTTGACATGTATACAGTTGGTGTGCTTGATTTGCCCGCATCACTGTTTGGTAATTATTAGTTTTCTCCTGTGAATTTGGAGGAAAAAAGACCTTGTTCTTTTGTCTTTGTTCTTTGCTCTTCCCATCATCTTTCACCTCTGCAATTAGGTTCATCTCGTAAAGAGATCACAAAGCATTGGGAATGGCTGGAGAATAACTTGCTGCAGACTCTATCCATCTTTGATAACGAAGAAGATATCACCACCTTTGTCAAGGGCAAGATACATGTAAGCGACATGTTTCCCTGAAGGACTTCCAGATCCTGAGAAAGAATGGGGAGGTGGTTTTAAGAATTTTTTACCCTTGAGAGGGAGGGAGCAAGAGCTCCTTTGCAAAACTTTTCTCTGCTTCCTCTTCATATGTACATACATTGGGAATTGTTATGGGATGCATACAGCATTATCGGCATCATGTTACGGTTATAACACCGGACAAATGTATTTGGGGGGGGAAGGTTATAAGCAGTAGATCTCAAGGAACAGCCTGCTTAGGATGCTCCTACTAATTATATTAAAATATAAAACCACTTTAAAATCCTTGCCGATTATACATTGGATGCAGAGAGAATGCTTAAGGAGTGTTCATTCAGCAACAAATATTGGAGAGAGAATTCTAGTTGCAATGTACTTGCACTGACACAATGGTCTAAAACACATCTAGGTTGTAAAGGAACTGCACCTTGCTTCCACTGACTTCTGAGTCAGAGGTGTCTCTGCTTGTTGTACAGTTAACATGCTTCAGATTCGCAGCCCACAAATCCTGCAGAGTAGAAACTTTATAAATACAATTCTTTATTGAACAGCAGCAATTAGAGTCTTTTCCAGTACTTCAGTCAGATTTTTTGATTTTCTCTGTGTCTGAGAGATCGTGGTCATTTGTTTTTCCTTCTGGCCAATCAAGATCTGACAGACTCTGGAGTTCTGCCCTTCCTGGCAGATCATCTTCCTGTTGAAGAAGCATGTTTGCAAGTGAAAACAGGCTTCAGTTCTCCTGCAGGGTGTTCAAAGTGCTACCAGGCCAGCCGTGAAAAAGTCAGTCAAATGTTAAACATGAATGCCGGCTGCATGCGTTCAGGAGTAGATCCCAGCTCATAGACTCCCAGACTATCTGACTTCTCTTTCTGCATGTCTTTACTATTTTTCTGATGTGACAGGAGAAATAACTGCTGTGTCGTGTTTCTTCTTCCTGTCTTCTGGATTGCTGCTGTGACCTTGTGTGCTATATATTATGTCTGTCAGCATGTTCCTTCCATTTTTTCTCTCTCTCCTCCCATGTCCTTTCAGGGAATTATTGCTGAAGAGAACAAGAATGAGCAGCCTCAGAGTGAAGAGGATCCAGGTAAATTCAAAGAGGCTGAACTGAAGATGCGGAAGCAGTTTGGGATGCCTGAGGTGGAGAAGTTGGTCAATTACTATTCCTGCAGCTATTGGAAGGGCCGTGTACCCAGGCAGGGCTGGCTGTACCTCACCGTCAATCACCTCTGTTTCTACTCCTTCCTGCTGGGCAAAGAGGGTGAGTTATAAGCCTGCTAGTTGTTTTGCTGTAATTTCCCATGATCTTTTTGATGCAGTTGATCTTCTGTGTGAACTTTTTTTCAAGCTGACTTTTTTTTTTTTCCTTTTAGAAATCCTTTAAGCTCTAGTTCAACACATAGGTCGGTCCTTGCTCTCATAGGCACGGCAGTGATGTTTAGACTGAGTGCCTGAGTCATTTTTCAAAACATTTCTCAAGTTGTACAACTACACCTGAAGTTTTACTTCAGATGGATTAGAGAACCAAGCAATATTTTTGTGAGTTTTATTTGGACCCAGTATTTGCAAAGCTTGAACTCCTCAGTCAAAAGCAAATTTGCTGGAAAGAAAAAATGAAAACTTGGTAATTGAAAGCATTTTCTGGATCGGAGATAGTCCTTTTGGAACTGCGTTATTTCTAGTCTAGTTGATTCCAAAGACTATTTCCAAGTACTTTTGGAGAACCCAGTAAAAGTATGAGGAAAAGAATTGTCCATGTGTAAGAGTGGAAAAATGCTGCTATACTGAGATCTTACTGTCTGCTTAAGCTTTATTTCTGATTATTTGTTTTTTTTCCTTGAATTGTAATAGTAGTTCTTTTGAATTTTTTTCCCAGTTACACTGGTGATCCAGTGGGTGGATGTAACCCAGCTAGAAAAAAATGCTACACTGCTGTTCCCTGAGTGCATTAAAGTAAGCACAAGGGACAGTGAACTTTATTTTTCCATGTTTCTCAACATCAACGAGACGTTCAAGCTGATGGAGCAGTTGGCTAACATTGCTATGCGGCAGCTATTGGATAATGAGAGCTTCCTACAGGACAAGTCCCTCCCGAAGCCCAGGAAGCCTCTTAAGAACATCTCTGCATTAAAAAGGTATATGTTCCCGGCAGTGAGAAGAGAAGACAGATAACGGGGCATTGTAATAATAAATCTGCACTACTGTGTAGCTCTGAGGTGCTGCTGGGGTTTTCTCACTCTTGGGTCTGCATCACTTACTTCAGTCATTAGCCCTCTGCCTATCCTTTTTTTTTTTTTTTCCATCCCAAATTGCTACTGAATTCACACACACCCTCATGCCTTTCTCATGGATGACTAGGCACTGTCAGAAGGAATTTTCAACTAGAAACTGTTGAAAATCCTGTTTAAAAAAAAAAAAAATGAGGAAAATTACATCCGGCCCTTTGTCTGAAGTTGAAGATTTATAAAAAATAATGTACATTTCTAGTGTAATAAATCCTCCCACTGAGGACTGTTCTCTGCAGTTTCAGAATCTCATGTAACATTTACGTTTCACAGATGCACTTGCATATTTTATCTTGTATTGCAGGACGTAAGTTGTCAGTGAAATATGTCTGAAGGCTGAAAGAGGAGTCAGATAAGGGGTGGCAACTTAGAGAAATTAATACTAAGAATACACAGCAGAGTCTGAAGGTTGTGATTGGAATGAATGCTTAACATCAGTGTTTGAGTGGGTTTTTGAAGTGAGAAAAGAACCTCTGCAGACTACTTCTTGCTTTTCCCAGAGACCTGGATGCTCGAGCCAAAAATGAGTGCTACCGTGCCACTTTCCGGTTGCCCAAGGATGAATGCCTGGATGGACATACAGACTGTACCTTGTGGACACCGTTCAACAAGATGCATATTCCTGGCCAGATGTTTGTTTCCAACAATTACATCTGTTTTGCCAGCAAGGCAGAGGAAGCCTGTCATCTCATCATTCCTCTCAGAGAGGTAGGGATTTCTTAGCTGTATATTAAGATTACAGGCCCTTCTTGTCTTTTGCGTGCTTCTATCTTTTGTACAGTGCTTTATAGATAATGGAGTATCTGCTAGATCCAACTGGCCCTTGTCTTTGTCTTCTAGGTGACAATAGTTGAGAAGGCAGATAGTTCCAGTGTCTTGCCCAGCCCTCTGTCCATCAGCACTAAAAGTAAAATGACCTTCTTCTTTGCCAATCTGAAAGACCGAGATTTCTTGGTACAGAGAATCTCTGACTTCTTGCAGAGAACACCATCCAAGAAACCATGCAGCAGCGACAGGGAGTGGAAGTGGAATTTGGCTGATCCTGGCTGTGAGGTACTGAGGAAATAGCTGGGAGGAGCATTTGTTGACTTTCCAGAGTAATGCTCCTTACAGTGCGTTAACAGTGCTTGTTACCAGCACATGTCTCTTTGTTAGTCAAGTAGCAGAGGAGGAAGGCTGCCTGAGCTCTGATGCTTTATGTTCTGTTGCTCAGGAGGTTCCGGAGTTGCCTTCCAGCAGCCCACTTGCAGTTAGCCCCACGTCTACACTCTGCAATCGACCTGTCAACTTTTGTGCTGGGGAAGTGCCAACAGCCTCTCAGGGACTACTCAAGCTGTTCAGAAGAAATTCCGAGGAGCTCTTGGGACCCAAAGGGGTAAATAATATTTTAACTGAAAACAATGAACTCTAAATAGTTTGCAGTAAGTTACAGATTTCCTGTCCACCGAAAATGCATTTTAGCCCTAGTCAGTCCTTCAGTATCACTGCTGTGTCTGTCACAATGATAGTGCTGCATAGATGTAACCTGACCGTCAAATTACTGTATCAGTACTGAGATACCTGAGATACCTGACTGCAGGCTGAGAAATTAGTGTTACTGTGCTTCTGGGATGTAAATTCATGTCTGTGAAGAACTACCTTTCTTCAGATCAAGAAAGCAGAGAACCAGTATCTCTGCTTGCTAGTTAATCATCTTAGACCATGGTTTTGCTTGCATTTATATAGAGATTTTCAAGGTGTAATGCCATTGCACAGCCCATGTTAGTGTTGTAAAGACTTGACTTTAAGCAAGGTCAGAACCATTTCAGAACAGTGTAGATTAGCATACACCCTTTTATTCAGCAGAAAGAAGAAAGGCTTTAAATGTCACAATGCATTTCTCTTGTGAAATGTAGGCCTGAGTATACCCAAAAATCACCTGTCCTACAAACATAAAAAATGCATTAATCTCCTAACATGGCCATATTTGTTCCTGTGAAGGCAAAGGAGAAAATGAAGGAAGAGTCTTGGAACATTCATTTCTTTGAATATGGGCGAGGGATGTGTATGTATCGCACTGCTAAGACTAGGGAGCTGGTGCAAAAAGGAATCCCAGAGAATCTTCGTGGAGAACTGTGGCTCCTTTTCTCAGGTATGATGTTGTGCTTGATACTTTGAGATATCAGAAATAAGCTTTCTGCATATCTCAGAGGAAAAGGTGTAAATCTTAGCTCCTTTCAGAAGATATTAATCACAAGTTAATTCTACCTGAATGATAATTCATGGTGGTTTTGCTAAAAATACAGTGATTGTGTTCCTGAGATGACTTTTTTTATGAGTGTAGTAGCTCTTTGGTCTCCTTTGTCTGCCTTTCAGTGTTGGGACCTAGACTCTTAACAGGATGATTGAGTTTGTTAACATACTTTCATATCTATTTGTAGTTAATGAGTTCATGTAGTGCTTCCTGACTGCCTCATCTCTGAAACTGGGCATAAAATCTGTATTCCAAAGCTCAAGAGGTGAAGCAGTATTTGTTTGTCGTTACAGGGGCTTGGAATGAGATGGTGACTCATCCTGGTTACTATGCAGATCTTGTGGAAAAGTCAATGGGAAAGTACAACCTTGCTACAGAGGAAATTGAGAGAGATCTGCACCGTTCTATGCCAGAACATCCTGCCTTCCAGAATGAGTTAGGAATTGCTGCCCTCCGGAGAGTCTTAACAGCTTATGCATTCAGAAATCCAACAATTGGGTACTGTCAGGTAAGAAAGAAGTCTTAGACTTGTTAGTCCTACACTGTGACTGTGATTGACATGGACTTTTTCTGCAGTATTTGTTTAGTTTCAAGCTTTTCCTTCATGCCGTCCATGTGGTGGTGTGAGAGTAGGAGAGAAGTGGTTATGTTGCAAGATCTCTTAACTGTCCTTTGGATACAGCATGTAAATAGACTTTGCACATTTCTGTTACGTGTAATTACAGAGTCTTGTACTGGCTTTACTGCTAGAGCTTTCCCTAGTTCAGCAAAAACATCTTCTGCTTTCATTAAAAAGAGCAATTAAATTGAATAAGTGATGATGCACATGGACAGTATACTGAAAATTAAGACAATTGCTTATTTGTGAAACAACTCAGTGGAAATTCAGATTCATTTTGTATATTGCTGGAGTATTAGAGGTTCTCATTATGTTGTGCTGTTACAACCAAATTGTTACAAAACTTTTCATAAAAATTTTTAAATTATACTTAATCACATTGATTAATGAAAGTGCTTGATGAAAAGTAGTTGTATTATTTGCTACCTCACAAACAGAGGAACTGACTTTGAGCCAATTTACCCTCCTGTTTCATCTGTTGACTCAGGTACAAGTAAAAGCTGGAAATAGATGTGACTTAGTGACAGTTTTGCTGTATTCATTCTTCTTAAGTTTAGCTGGTCTGTAATGACAGAGTTTTCATAAACATCTTTGTGTTTTTCTCCTCCATTTGACTCTGCTGGCTCGTAGGCCATGAACATTGTTACATCAGTACTGTTGCTGTACTGCAATGAGGAAGAGGCTTTCTGGCTCCTCGTGGCTTTATGTGAGCGGATGTTGCCAGATTACTACAATACAAGAGTCGTGGGTGAGTCTTTGTCAAATTTGTGCTGGAGACTGGATTTTCAGCTACCAGCATCTCTGCTGTACCAGCATCTCTCAGGAACACTTTGTTGTTCAGAATGAATTAAATGTGATGCATTTTAAAGATGATGAAGCACAACCCTGTTCCCTTTAAAGTTGCAGGTGTGTGATGGAGACGTAGGAAGAGACACTGCAGGCTACCAAGGTAGTAGTACTGCCTTGTAGTAACAAGGAAGATGAAGTCACTAAAAATTGGTAGCAGGAGGGACCATTAGCACTAAGGAGGCATATCTAGAAGAAAATTATTGGGTTATTTTTTACCCATCTGAATGATGTATTAAATCTTTGGAATAGGCTTCCAGGAAAGGTTAGTGAAAGCACCGCTTCATGGGCTTTTAAAGTTGGTCTGTATAAAAGTTTGATGTAAATACCATAATATCAGTAATCCTCCACCACTCTTCAGGGAAAATACGTAGATCAATGAGAGATTCTATTTCTGCATGCTCTGCAATGTAGGAATGGTCTCTATCTAAATATGTTAATTTTACTGAGAACAGAAAACAAAACTAAATAAATGTGTTAATTTTAGTTCTAATGTTGAGGCATATATGAAATTAAAGTGAACTCACACTATTTTCTTTAAGAATTGATTAGCTTGAGTATAGTACCATGATACCACCAATTTGAATTCTACCACTGTTTTTGTTTGTTTTCTTAGGTGCATTGGTAGACCAAGGCATCTTTGAAGAACTTACACGGGAGTATCTTCCACAGCTGTCAGAAAAGATGCAGGACCTAGGAGTGATTTCCACCATATCCCTTTCCTGGTTTCTCACTCTCTTTCTCAGTGTCATGCCCTTTGAGAGTGCCGTGGTCATTGTCGACTGTTTTTTCTATGAAGGAATCAAGTTTATCTTGCAGGTGTCATTGGCCATACTTGATGCCAACATGGAGAAGTTGTTACAGTGCTGTGATGAAGGTGAAGCCATGACTATTCTGGGCAGGTACCATTCATTGTTCTTATTTCTAACTGAATAATAACAGTACACTTAGTCATCTCTTTCTACCTAATTCCATTACATAGGAGGTCACAGATAACATCCTAGGACGAAACTTGAGCCCCAGAGAGGTTTGATATTGCTTTCTACAATGGCTGAAATTAATTTTTGGCTCAAGTATGGAGGAATCCCATATTTCTGCAGTTGTTTGCTTTGCAGCATAATACATTCCTGCATCTTAGTTTGAATTTGAACTCCAAAAGATTGCTTATTCAAAATTCACAGAAGAATTATAATTCAGTATTAAGAACAGATCCTGGCAGGAATCACCTTCTAGAAACAAAACTTGATCAAGAAAATACTTCCCAAGTCTAATAAATATAAGATTTTCTTGTTTGAAATGTGAATCTCTTCTGTGTGCAGCAAGATCTTCAGCTTATGACTAGGAATCCACTTTAAAAAGAGTAGATAGCCCCAAAAAGGAGTGAAAATCAACACGAAGGTAGCATTGCAGGTTAGCTGGGAAAAATTAAATTTTCCTACATGTTTAGATTAATGATACGGAGAAGTTGGGAATGATGCGTTTAGGATATTACTTCTTTTCTGGACACTAATCCTGGAGTCTTGCACCTGTTCTGTTTTTTCCCCACAGATATTTGGACAATGTAGTTAACAGACAGAGCATCTCTCCCCCTATTCCCCACTTGCATGCCTTGTTGACGAGTGGAGATGACCCACCACTTGAGATTGACATCTTTGAACTTATCAAAACATCCTATGAGGTGAGGTTCTGGCTTAGTTTTTGCCCAAGGGAGTTTTCTCTACTAACATCCAGTTTTATACTTTGTGCAGCCAGAATTTGAACAGTTTTCATAGCTTGAGGTGCTTAAGGAGTGCAGGCTCAAGCTATTAATCCACCTGTTTGGTACGAGTAGAGCCTAACACTATTGGTTATTGCAGATCACAGAGACTCTCCCCAGCACCAGTGGAGACTAAAATGACGACTGAAATAAGTAAAAGTTACAGACCAGAGATTTCTTCCTGCTTTGCCAAAAAAGTCTTCATTCTTACTTGTATTTGAGGATTGTCAGTGATAGGGAGCTGGGGGGGAAATTCAGGGTAAAAATTGAAGCATACTGCAGAAACATGGAAGCATCACAGTTCATGTGCACAGCAATCCTGTTCTGTGATCCATAATACAGTAATTGGAAGGTGACTTGAGAATGATGCCAGTGCTATTGAAATACCTCTGCACTGGTGGAGGTGTACCTCATTATTTATATGGAGAACAAACTCATAAGAAATTTGTACCTGAAGGATGAAAAAAACACAGGCAAGAGAACTGGTGTTTGACAGTTCTCTGCTATGCTGTGGTGAATGTAGATTCATTTCCCTGTTTTATCTCCTGTTTTTCATCCTATCCCCTTCCAGCTGCTTACAGTCAGGCAGCTATCATTCTGCTGGGTATTTTGTTTGTTTTTTGAAATCTGCCGTCTCTGTTCTTGGTTGCTTTTATAAAAGAATGTCACCAAATTAATCTTATTTGTCCAACTCAGTCAGAATAAAAGCCTCTTAACTTTGGTGCTTCTAGCTGAATCTTATATGGGTCCTAGAGAAAAACTGGGATGGAAGGAATGACAACATGCCTATTCCCCTATCTCTGCCACAGTACAGGATCTGTATTTCTGTCAGTCCTGACAGATGCTTTTTCAGCTGTTATTTAGAAACCTCTGATACTGGATTTCTTGTGGATTTTGTATGACTTCTCTTGCAAGATGGGGGTGAATAGGGAATAGAGCTCAAGTTTTTTCTCATCTTCTTGCTGCTGGTAAAAGGCTTCTAGGAGTTTTAGATCATCTCTGAGGGGATAGTACACTTGTTAAAGAACATGTAATTGAACAGGGGTTGTTCTTTCTTTAGGAGATGTTGACCTGGTCTGCTTCCTTTTCTTGTAGAAATTTAGCAATCTGAAGGCAGATGACATGGAACAAATGCGTTTTAAACAAAGGCTGAAAGTGATCCAGTCTCTGGAGGATACAGCCAAGAAGAGTGTGGTATGTGACTCCCAGATTGAATGAGCTACCAAATGGCATATTAATGGAATGTGTTTTGCTGTGAGCATCTAGAAAGTTTGCACTGTAGCAGACCCAGTTTTAAGTGACTTAAAGAATTGCAGTTCATGTGAAAAATGGATTTACTAGCTGGAATAATCATTTTCTTGTCATTTATAGAGTACATTAGTTAGCACATTAGGGAATTTTATAGAAGGGGTCATGGCCAAAAGGAAGTATCCATATCTATTGCAATTATCTCCTATGTCCTGGGTAGAGAACCTCATCCATATGTTTCTTTTACTATTGTTTTTCAATGCATCTGAGTCAAACATCTGAAGATAAAAACAAGAGGGAGGGCCAACACAGTCTGCACAGTCAGGTCTGCACAAACAGGAAATAAGTGAAGTATTTTTTTCTAGCTGCTCAAAATGTCAGCAGTTTCTACTTGACCAGAAACAGTCTCCCTGACCTATATAATCCATAGCAGTGGGAAGTAGTAGAATGGTTATGTTTTCCCTCCCATCCTGTGTCCTATCTCCTTGCACTTGTTTTCTTCTTTTCTGTGTTACAAAGATTTTTCAGTGAGTCATAATTAACTTTTATAGCTTTGAAATAAATTGTCCACTCTATTTTTCTCCCTAACTATAGGTCCGAGCTGTGTCTAGTGACATTGGTTTCTCTATTGAAGAACTAGAAGAGCTGTATGTAGTGTTCAAGGTAAGAAGCTAGAGGGAGGAAAAATGTCTTCTGACACAGAGAGAACAAATATCAGAATAAGTTGAAATGGAAGCAATGACTTTGCTTTGATTCTTAATCCAACCTGTCAGAAACAGATGTGGCATTCTGTTATACATGGTGCCAGTAAGACTGGCCCTATTACTATCTTATTTATTATTTTAACTTTTTTCCCCCCAGTGATGGACGAAACACATTCACGGTATTTAAATGATACTTATTCAGAAAGAGATCATGGAATCCATGGAAAGGAATGTCAAATAGCACTTAGAATGGCAACCTAGAATTGACTGTACCCCAGTTTTTATTCTCAAGTTTGCCATTGACTTTTACTTAAATGCTTTGCATCTATTTGTCAATGTATGTATTTTTAAAAGAGTGATATTACCCAACTGCATTTACCAAAGTCGCTGCAAACTTGGTTGCACTGTGCCGTAGACTCAGAAGGAGAGGCTTAGTTCTAAAACCTGCATGTTCCCTTTGCAGTAAAGCCTGAGTGTCATTTCATTCAAAACTGAAAACGTGTTTTTTGTATTTTTCACTTAGAATTGTTCTTTGTGCTTTTAGTGAAATCCCTATCTCTTCTTTCATTTCATATTACTTTATAGTGAAGTAACACTAGAAGTAATGGGGAAGATAAACAGTCTGTCCTGCAATGTCTCTTCTTTGCTTACTTGATGCTATTCTTGAGTTATAACGAAGTCTCCACTCGTGTGGGTTGTTGTATAGTAGAAGCTGACATGTTAATCCTTTCCCTCCAAAGGCAAAGTATCTGATGAGCTGTTACTGGGGAAATAACCGTGCTGCAGCTGCCCGCCGAGATCAGAGTTTGCCCTACCTGGAGCAGTATCGCATAGACATGGAGCAGTTCAAAGAGCTGTTCATCAGTCTGACCCCCTGGTCTTGTGGCGCACATACGCCTGTGCTAGCAGGGCGTTTGTTCCGGCTTCTGGATGAGAACAGGGATTCTCTCATTAACTTCAAGGAGTTTGTGACAGGGATGAGTAAGTGGTGTTTCTGGAGATGATGGAATATTGCAAAACTTGTTCCTCTCCTTTTCCAAGCAGAGAACTAAAAGGAGATAGTGGTGTTTGCACTATCATGAGGGGAGGGTGCCAGGGAAGATTCAGGCAGAACAAAAGATGATTTTATGCTGCTAGGCAGTCTCCCGCTGTGGGAAACGATAGGTGGCAAACCAACAAGATGTGGCTTTGCCATGGATTTCTTCACTGCTTCTACAGAGGGCTTTGTGCAGTTAGTGTTTCCTCGCTGTATGTGAACTCACTCTGTTTTGAGTCTGTGAGCAGAGGGTGATTCTTTATCCGAAGTTCTGTTTTTCTTAACCTGTTTGGGGTTTTTTTATTTTCTTCACAGGTGGTATGTACCATGGCGACCTCACTGAAAAACTCAAAGTACTCTACAAACTGCATCTGCCTCCTGGTGAGTGATTGCTTCTATATACCACTACTATTGAGCATGGTCTGTTCTGACATGCAATTGAAAAGCGATGCCTCGTGAATTTTGCTAATGAAGTGGGTGATACTGCTATTCAGTTAGCTTAGAGGTGTTAACATATCCTTCTCTGTAAATACAGCTCTGAATCCAGAGGAGACAGAGTCTGCTTTGGAGGCCACAAGTTATTTCACAGAGGATGTTACAACAGAAGGTAATGCAACGCTGCTGCCTTTACCTCTCAGTTTAGTCAGGATTTGCATCATAAATCCATGTGCTGTGAATAGTGATTTTGTGCAAGGTGTGGTCTCGTGATGGCAGTATGTTAGGATTTCCAGTGTGTTTGAGTTCACAGTCTTTGTTGCATGATGGGAAAGAAGTTTGGAGTTTAAACTCCTCAGTGCCCATTTCATGGAGGGCACAGCATGCTCTGAAGCACAGTCATAGACTGCTGAGGAGGAGCAGTGCGCTTTTACCAGCCCCTGCCTCCCACTATGATTTAGGTTTTTCTTGCAAGTCTCATTGTCTCTCTTCTTGTTTTTGTTTCCTTCTCTGTGTCTGTCTGTGTCTGGCCTTTTCTTCTGTTTAATCTGGGATATTGTCTCCTCAACCCCTTTTTCTGCCGCTCAAGTATCTCCTTTTGTCTCAGAGCTGGATTTCTGCCTTCACTGTGAGTCTCAAGGTCAGTCCATGGATTATGTGCATGCGTTGAGCATGGCTATAATGCTGATATCATCTGCTAGCACCAGTGTGCTATTTTAAATACTCTGAAGTTGTTGCTGCTGCTCCTCTCTTATAACATTCCCACTATGAATAAAGTGCTATAAGTAATTAGATATCTTTCAGTGTATTCTACCTATTGAGTTTCAACCTTGGTCAAAATAGGTTTTGTCCAGCTTCTTTCAGTGGAATTTATTTCACCCTATAAACTGATGGGTGGAAAGTACATTCAGGGCAGAATGTTGGGGGCTGCTAGGCTTACTGGCCTGGGTAGATGATACCTGTGCCTATTTGACAGTTCTAACTTAAAGACATAAGGATGCATGCCACTGAATTGTAAAGCTGTTAGTAGACTAATTTACTGTATCTCTTAAAATATTATTTTAGGGACTGTCAGATTGGAGATCAAAGTATCTCAATTGTGCAAAATGTTTACCAAAATGTAATAGCGCTCAGAAAAAAAAATCTGAGCAAGTATGTACAACGGGTAGTTGTGTTGTGTGGTGTTAAGTGGCTAACATAACAGTCTGAGTTGAACCAAGACTTCCTATATAGTCTAGTGACAATATAGGGAACCAGAAGTGAAGTTTGTAAAGTTAGACTCTGCAAATTAATCCCAAAGTGTCAGTTCAGCTAGGAAATAATGGTGAGTATAGATGATAGTCACATATGTGCTCAGTGGCGGTTTGGGTTTTTTCCATTCATTATCTTGCTTTGGATAACTGAACTTCTCTTTAAGTCATCACATTGCTTAACGGTCTTTCATATCTGTGTTTCACCCTTTCTTTTAAGACTTCTGCCCTCTACCTCAGCTCTTCAACCTACTTTTTCAGTGTAGCTTTTTACCCAGTTCATTCCTTCAGCCTATTGCTTCCATCCTGTTCTGTTCATTCCTCCAAACATGATGTGGGAGTGTGAGAGCTAACTTCTATTAAATATATTTTTGTATGATTTTGATTTGTATATGAGTTGTCTTATGTTCTTCAGGCATTGTGCTGCTGAAAATCAGCTATTAATTGTTCTTCTATAATTCCATAATTTTTTAGAAACCCAAGAAGATAAAGGAAGGAGAAATGAGAATGGTCCAGAAAAAGGTAATTTCATCATAAACAGACCACGTTCTAGTCTTGTCTTTCTCATATTATGAACTATTCATTGTCCATTGCTGTATCAAGGAGACCTTTCAAAGTGTCCCTCGTGGACAGGTGAAGTGAGATGTGAGCTGGGAAAAAAAATCTCTTAGGCATTACTGCTCTGACTGTTTTACATAACACAGATTGTAACATTTGTAAATCATGTTTGGTAAGTTGTCAACTCATAGAGTTCATTTATGAGAAGTCAGCCTGATGCAGAAGTGTTAACATTTTTGCTCTACTGAGCTGTATCAGATAAACCAGCAGAAAACAATGCAACTGTCCTGGTAGATGCTTTCCTGAACTGTCAATAAAACCTGCTTCTAGCATGATTTTTGCTGGCACAAGGTTCGCTTTTTAAGTCTGAAACCTTTAACCACCTGACAGTAGTGGCTTGTTCTTGCTTCTCAGAGGAGAAAGGTACCAGTCCACAGGACTACAGATACTACCTAAGAATGTGGGCCAAGGAAAAAGAGTCCAAGAAAGAAACCATTAAAGATCTCCCCAAAATGAGCCAGGTAAGAAGTGAATGTGAAGGTTTCCAGTTGGATGACTGACAGCTTAGTGGGGAATTCAGCGATATGTGCAGCCATTTTGCCAGCATACTCAGTCTTTGCCTGTAGATTTCCCTGTTGTTCTTGCCTGGGGAGCTTTAGAAGCTTCTAATTCCACGTTAGTGTTGAATTCCTCAGTGGACATAGACAAACTGCTTTTTTTTTCTGCCAATCAAATGTGTTTGATTCTGTCTGCCTCCCAGACCAATTTTTCCTGTAAGAACTGCAATCTACATTTTCCTTCCAGAGCGGTATGTTTCAAATATGCCATCAGTTGTAAAAACCTGTTTGGCTTTTTTTATTTTTGCATTGCCTCGAGTTACAGCTGCTTAGTGGAGAGCAAAGAATGTGGTTACAGGAAAGAGAGTCTGATGACTGGTGTGATCTTTTCTGTCTCTCATTTCCTTGATGGGTGCTACTTAAACCAGTTCAGAAGCACTTTGAAGCTGACCACAAGAGAGTAGCAGGACAGAAGTAAAACTTTAGGTTTTCTCAGATCTGAATATGTGAGTACTCTGTTCATCTGTCAGAAAAAACCTCCACCACTATTAAATTGCTAGCTGTACCTCAATTTAGCTTCTACCGCAGAGAGGGAAGATTTTGCCTGTATTGAACTGTTCTGAATTAGTACAATAAGTTGACAGTTACTTGATGGGGAGGCAGATAAACAAGGAGTCAGTCAGGATGGTGCCTGTTGCTTCATCTCAAGGAGCATCTGGATGATGCTCTTAGACATAGCTTTTGTTTTAGGTAGTCCTGCAACAAGCGGGGAGTTGGACTCGATCCTTATGGGTCCCTTCCAACTTGAGATATGCTATAATTCTGTGGTCTGCCACTGTCAGTTTTTTTCAGCCTGAAGTATGACTTTCTGGTCTTTGTCTTTCAAAGGAACAATTCATAGAGTTATGCAAGACCCTTTACAACATGTTCAGTGAGGACCCAGTGGAGCAAGAGCTGTACCATGCAATTGCTACTGTAGCCAGTCTCCTCCTGCGAATTGGGGAGGTTGGAAAAAAATTCTCCAACAAGCCCGTGAGGAAGTCTGAGGACTGCAAAGCAAACAATACCCAAGATGCTGTGAGTGAAGAGGAGTCACCAACATCTGAACGGAGTCAGAATTCAGCAGTGGAGCAGCACCCCCAAGCTGACCATGAGGACAAAACGTGCGGAGATGCTCAGCCTGAAAAAACACAGCAGGAGAACCAAACTCTAGGAGATGGGTCAGGGGAAGGACAAGGCTCTCCTTTACAACTACTGTCAGATGATGAAACCAAAGATGATATGTCCATGTCTTCTTACTCCATGGTCAGCACAGGCTCCCTGCAGTGTGAAGACATTGCAGATGACACAGTCCTGGTTGGTTGTGAAGGCAGTAGTTCAGCTGCCAGGTATGGTAGTACCATTGATACTGACTGGTCTATCTCCTTTGAGCAGATCTTGGCTTCCATGCTGACAGAAACAGCCCTTGTAAACTACTTTGAGAAGAAAATCAACATTCTGCAGAAGATCAAAGATCAGAAGAAGGTAGAAAGGCAGTTCAGTTCATCCAGTGACTATGAACTTTCCTCTGTGTCAGGGTGAGCTCAAGAAAGCAGTAATTGTCTTTGGGAGATAGAACAGGGAGATAACGTGGCAGATGGCAGGATGGTTTGATATTTTGTATTTGGGGTTTTTTTTTGTTTAATCAGAGACCAGTAACTACACAAATACAATAGATTCCAATCATTAAGGGGCTTCTGACAGTGACTGTTTTGTGTAGGTGCTTCTTTGGCTACTCTGACTGACAGAGTTAGACTTACATTCTCAAGAGCCATTAGAACCTAATAGCCCCTGACATATAGAATTACCACCATAAATTATGCATGTCTGCCTTTTGCTGTCGTTTATTTTAATGAAGTTTTATTTCAGACGGTAACTGCTCCTTGCCTGCCCTTGTTTGCTGTAGGTTCCTGGGTAACTTGCACAGCAGATGCAGCCTGGCTTGAAACCATGTTCACCTCTGACTGCCAGTCTGAGAGCTAATGCAGTGTAGTCAAGTGCTATAGGACCCTGACCTATAAATAGTCTTGTAAATTCTTCAGTGCTGTTCTGTGACTCAGCAGCTATGATGCAAATGTGCCCCACTGCTCCCAGCACCCTAAGATCTAAACACAGACATTTCTCAAATCTGCAGGTTTCTTTCAGATGTGACTTTGCATTTTCATAGTGTATGATCACTTTCTCCTTCAGCATTCAGGAGTTTTCAGACAAACCTGCTTTTCTAGCATTTGCTTTTCTAGTTCTTTGAAAGCCATTGGTTTTAGTTTGTCTGGGAAGCCACAAGCTCCTTGACTTCAGTGCAGAAGTAGTACTGAGTCAATCAATGGGCTCATGACAGTTACAATGAGGGAATAAGTTCCTAAATTAGAAGGCGGTAAGTCAGGCTCAGCATTACAGGGCAGTGGCACGCTGGTCTGCTGGACTTTCCCTGTCAGTAAACTTTCACTGTTTCTTGCTGATTCTCTGTTTTTACTAGCTAGTGATCAGTCTAATTTTTAAGATGACCCCTAAGAATACTATGATCAGTCAGCCCTCACAAATGCTTGGGGCAGGAAGATGTGCAGGAGTGTTGTCCCACCTGCACCTGCTCAGCGTGTCCTTTATGAACATCTCCTGTACAAAAAGTCTACCAATGGACATGCTCTTAGAAACTACTACACAGCAAAGGGCATTTATACCTAAAGAAGAAGAATTCAAAGCAGTGTGGCCCTCTGCCATCAGCCCATTACCGGGAACCTCGATAGACTAGATCTCTTTCCAGTTAAAGACAAAATAACTGGGAGACTGAGTGACTGCTCTTTTAAATCAATTAAGACCAGAAGAAACTAAGAGTTAGCCTTCTGGTAGTAGGGTGTGCACGCCAAGGAAGGAGAATTAATGCTGTTCCTACAGATAACTTCATCTCAGTACGCAGACATCTGCCTTGCAGGGCCGGAGCAGGAGCTGCTGCTGCTCGGCAAGAGCAGACCCGCGCCGGAGGGCCAGGTTTGCCACAACTTTTGGCTGGCATTTGGAATGTAAAGGATGGGAAGGACATGTACGGTTGGATGTTCCCATTTAACACTACTTGGTGTGCTACTCAGTGTTAATTACTCCTTGTGACATTCTCTGTATGTATTCACAGCTGGTACATATTTCTCTGCCTCCTCTGTCCTGTATCACTGGAGAGCAGCCATTAGTAAAACTGCTTTTACTAATTATTCAGTAATTTATTGTAATTTTTTAAAGTACAAATAATACATGTGATTTTACACTGTCTGTCTGTCTTACCTGTCATGTACTCAATAAATGAACCAGAATCCTATAGGCTACTTTGCCTTTTATTTCTCAGCTCATGGAATATTGCTTTGTCCATGGCGGTTATCTAGAAGAACAGACTTGGTGTGAATGGAGTCTAACTTTTTTCCTTTCCTTCTTTCCTTCCTTTTTAAAGTTTTTTTTTCCTTTTTTTTTTTCTTTTCACACTTTTTTTTCCCATCTTTTTCTGGTTTTCTTTTTTTCCCCTTTTTCTTTTTTTGTAATCTTTTTTTTTTCTCTCCTTTCTGCCTGTCTCTCTCTTTTATTTTTCCTTTCTGTCTTTCTGTCTTCTTATTTTTTTAATTATTATTCTGTATATTTATTTTTTATATAGCACAGACTGACGCAGTTTCAGGTAGGTGAACACACACACTGTTTTCCCTCCTGGGAGAACGCGACTTTTATTAAACAAACACACATCCCAGCCATCCCTCCAACCTTCGGTTCTGTCGGCTCCCAGGCGCTGCATTAACTTCCCCCGTCTGAGGCCGGCTCAGGGCAGTGGAATGATTTATTTTTTTAAGAAAAGGTGCGAGTCTGCGGCCGCCGCGCTCTGTCGCTGGGGCGCGTAACGCCCGCGGGCTCGGCGGACTCGGGGCCAGAGCGGCAGACTCGCTGGTAGCAGGTGCGTCACGTGGCCGGAAGGCGCGCGTTGCCATGGTGAGGGTGGGATGGCGGCGCGGTGCTGGGCGCTGCGGTGCTGCTCCTGCCGCCTCTTCCAGGTGCAGCAGGTGGGTGCGGGCCGTGGGTGCGGACCCTGGGCCGCGGGCTGTGGGCCGCGACTGACCCCGTCTGCGCCCTCCTAGGTCAAGCGGAGCGGGAAGTGGAGCTGCAGCGTGTGCGGCCAGCGGCAGGCCGTGCAAAAGGTGAGGGGGCGGCCTGGGCCGTGGCAGTGGGCAGCCCAGCGTGGCGGTGGAGCCCTGCAGCGTGGCAGTGGGCAGCCCAGCGTGGCAATTAGCCATACCCAGGACATCACATGCTCTGCCGTAGGTGCTAACTTGAGTTAGCACTTCTGTATTACCTGAGGTGAAGTCTCACTTTGTGCTTTTTCCTTCTGACTGCTCCCTAAGCCTTGTTTTTATTAAATTTTTTGCAGGTTTATGGCCAAGGGTCTGGCCTGGATTGTAGGCACCATGTCCAGAAATTAAACTTGCTGCAGGGTGAGGCGGAGGAAGCAATTGCTTGGACATCTCGGTAGGGTGTTGAATCTTCACCTGCTTGTTTCTTTTGATGTGCTACAGTTGATGCACATCTTCACACACTGGGTGCCTGTTATCTGATCTGAGCTCACAGGAGGGTTTTTTGTCCTGTTATAAAGCCATGACACGTGCCAGTTTTGTCATCACTTCATAGGAACAAGGTATTTATTGGGTTTAGTGTCCTGGCATGTTTCTTTTGGCAAGGAATTTTTTCAAGTAAGTTAATCAATAGTGTTGGTTGGTCAGGCCTTTACCCATTAAAATATATGCAGTAGGGTTTGGGTTTAGTTTGTTGTTTTGTTTTTTTTTTTTTTTTTAATTGGTCTTTCTTATTTACTGTTTGATGAGCTGACTGGAGATGTCCATCTTACAGACTGACAAACCATGCAGAGGAGCATCCTCAGAGAGAAAACATCCTCCAGTCTAAGCTGTTGCTACCCAACTGTTGACATTCAGGGATTTCATACTGAGTCTGTTGAGTAATCAATGTTGCTATTGATAAAAAGACTTGTTTAGTGCAAACATTTGGGTGTAATTCCTGCTGGGTTGAAAAATCTGAGTAGCACTTTCCTGTTTATTTCGTTCCTGAATCTGTTTACAAATCGCCTAATCTTGAACTGTTCTTGAACTGGTCCAGCTTGCTTTTTACTCAAGGTTATTTTCAGAAATCAGTCAAAGCAAGTAAGATAACTTAGTCATGTATATGCAGTGCTTCAGGGTTAAGCTTTGGAAAGAAAACTCATTGTTTGTTCTCTTTATCAAAAAGGGTTGCTATTTCTGTTCCCAAAACATTGTGAAATTCAGAACATTGTGAAATTCAAAACATTGTGAAATAAGTTTCCTTTTTCCTTGGTTGCTTGGGATATAATTAGTGAGTTTAAGCTGTTGTCCCAAATTCACGCTGTTATATCCCTAGTTATGATCAATTAGAATTCATCATTTCATGATTAGTGGCTTTAGATCAGACTTGCTACTCTTTGCATAAAAAGGAGGGCTACCATTTAGCTAGATTTTTTTTTCCAAGTATTTGGGTACCCTGTCTTGCAAGTCTTTCATTTGACATCTGCCTTTCTATAGATTCTTTTTTTTCTGACATGCCTTCTATCCAGTGTTCCTATCCATGCTTTCTCTCCAATCCCTTGTGCTATGACTGGGTGATTTCAAAATTGTAAATCAACAGACAGAAATGCGTTCTAGAAACTCTAGTTTAAACCTCTATTTTAGGTGCACAGAAGACCCTGTAAATGACAGAAAAAATACAGCAGCCCAACTTGAAGACACTTCGGTCCAACAGGTAAGATACCTACAAAGCTGAGGTAAATACCAACCCATACTGACTTAAGTGAATCAAAGTGAAATTAGTGATCCCTTTGTATGGGTTGAGACAGCTGAAATAGTGTATATCATCAGAGAGACAATGAGATGTATACAGAAACTGTGCTCCACCAGGATGCTGAACCTGGGAACATGATACAAGAACATGTCCTAAACTGACTTGTGATTTGAGGCATTTGGCATAGACAGGGTTCTCATTTTTGGCATCACTATGTATTTTGCTGGTTTTGGTAATTCTTCAGTGTTGTAGGAGGGAAGGGTAGAAGTCAGTCGTTGGAGTAAATATCTGGACAAGGACAATGAAGATCAGGAAGATGGGGAGAAGGTGGCAGGTACAGAAAGACAACAGTTCTGTTCCCAGAGAAAGAACACTGTGGAAAAACAAAGGTACAAAAATAACTTTTTTTTTTGTGTGTGTGTAATTCCTGTCCCCACGTGGTGACATTTGGTTTGGAAATGTGGGAAGTAGCTCATCTCCAACAGCTGAATAAATTAGAGGTTGCAGTGTAAGACCTGAGCTGAGCAGGGATTTGTTTTTTGGGGGTAAAACTTCTCTTATTGCTAGAGAAATGCATTTTATGGACATTTCTGGTGATTTGTGACAAAAATTCACACTGCTTATCTGTCCTTTTTGTGAATTGTTTTCTTGGCTAGGAAACACCAGAAGAGCTTCCTCTCCGGTGATACTCAGGACTATCCAGAAGAAAATGGAGTTTTCCAGCTTGCCTACCAAGCCAAAAAGGTTAAAAGTGCTGATGTATTTTTGTTGTAGAAGATGCTTCTTACCAATACAACAAAAGAGTGTTATCCTGACCTCTTGTGTCATCATAATTTTGTATTTTTATGAGTCTTTCCCTGGTCTTCTATTTGAATGACTGGGTAGGAAAAGAAAATTGTCAGGCATTTCTGAAGGGTTTTCATCAGGAAAAACAACGCCACCTTGTGCAGGCTGAGTGGTTGAGCCACGTTCCTCCATCAGCACAGCTGCAGTCTGTGCTGCTTTGCCTTACTGAGCAGTGGCAGCTGTGTAGCATGCCATCACTAAGGTTACTGTGATTACCTGCAGTGCCCGTGAAGCTGGCCTGAGTCTTCACAGCCCAGAGTTCATAGGGCTCAGCACATCGGCCTCAGCGCTGCCTTGGAGGGCTGGTGAGAATGTGGGTGCATTTGGAGGACCTGAGTGCTCATTCTTTGCATGTTTCTATGTGGCTTGGCTGTGCGTGCTGGATTTATAACTAAGCTCTCTTTCTCCTTACAGCGCAAGAAATACTTAGTAGCAGCACCTGATCAAGATGATGGAGATGCTGTTTCTGGGGTCAGTATGGTTCCTGCTGTCTGTGAGTCCGTAGTGCCTGAGGAGAATACACAAACCCCACCTGCTTGTACCAAACCCTCAAAGTGGGAAAAATTCCTCTCATGTTCTGACAGCTGCAGTGAAAACACTGCCAGGGTCACCTTGTCACCACAGGAGGGCAGTGGAAGGTTGGGGCTACGCAGCACTGCTGCAGCAGATGGTATGGCCAGTAGATGCTCAGAACAGGCTGGAGGAACTCTACCTCAAGGTACAGGTTTTGAATTTAAAAAGTGTGTTGCTAACCCTGAGCAGCTTGTCTCAAAACTGCCTAGCACCAGTTACTCAGTTGAGGAGAACGTGTTGTTCAAAGAACCTCAAAGTCAGTTGGTAGGGGCAGGATCTGGTGGTGTAGAGACCACTGCCAGAAGGTACAGTTTGGCTAGCACCGGCAGGGCAGACATCCTTGTTACCTGTAACACTGGGCCAAAGCCTAGCAGCATTTCTTCTGAACACCTCTTTTGTACAGGTGAGGAGTTTGATGCTGATCTCTGAGAAGTCCAGGCATCACTTTTGTGTTTGTCTCTACACTGTATTTGGCAAAATTTTTAACTGAAAGTGGCTTTACTCTAAGCCTTACAGAATTGCACTATTAAAGCTGTTTACTTGCTTTATGGCTGTGTTTGATTAAAGCTGTTTACTTGCTTTATGGCTGTGTTTGGGGGAAGGGTAGGAAGGTGGAATAATGTTGCAATGGGCAAGTGCTACAGTTAGGCAGTGTTGTCTAGCAACCTTGTCATCTTGAAGTAAGACTAGAAGTAGGTCAGCTTGGGGGGGAGAAAGCTTCCAGGCAAGATTTCTGGCCTGCACACTTAATTCGGTGATTAGTTCCCCCTTACAAACTGTTTTCCCCTGTACTATACCTCTTTGTTTAGAGCTACCATAGCAACCTTTTCTTCCAGAGCTGCAGAGCAGGCTTCAGAGCCAGCAAAGCATTTATTTTCTCTTGAGAAGTGGAGTCCTAAGGGTAGACCAAGGTATGTGCAAGAAGGGTGCAAGGCAGGCCTAAAGTCCTGCGCTGCCTCCCTTGCACAGGGAGCTGCTCAGTGAAATCACATGCTCTTAGCTCAGTCCCACAACTCTTCTCTAAGTTACAGTAAACAAATGTAACACAGCTGTGCTACTTAAACACTGACACAGACTCATCCCAGGAAGTAGTATTTATTTTTCTTCCATTCTACAAGCACTTAGGAACATGAGACAGAAACCCTTAGCAGGAAGAAAGATGAAGTGCCAAGTTGTACTGCATTGTCTGCTTTCAGTTAGGAAGAAAGTGAAGTGCTTTTTGTTACACAGACTACAAGTGAGGTGGCTGTTTGGAATATTGGATGGCATCTAGTGCTGCCCCAATGTCACAGTTCTTTGTCTGCAGGAGTCGAGTGAGCCATCCACCCTCATCCGAGAAACCCATAGAGAGCATCTGGGACAGAGATTCAATGAGGCGAGGGTCTGCTTCTATTAAGAGAAGAATAGTTTAAAGTTGAAATATTTCACATAGGTGGCAAACCAACCAAGGCTCTTAATACCACAGAGTGGGTAGGGTTAGCACTAATCCTAGTAAATCCAGCATAGCTGATTAAATGCTAGAAGACATGCCCTGTCTCCCAGGAGGGCAGATGTCCGAGATAAAAGATACATAACCAGCTAAGAAAACTGCTGAGTCAGACTCAGCTGGCCTTGCTCTAAGACTGTGCTGTTGATCTCCATTAAATGGCCTTGTACAGTGTTATTGGCTCCCACCAGAAAAATGCTGTCTTAAAGTCACAGGATGTATTAGTCTGCATCCTGCATTAAAAGGCTTTCTTCAAGAGTACAGAGCAAGGACATGATTCAGGATACCACACTTTTTCATATCACTCAAATGGCCTCTTAGTCGAAGGTCAGGAGTCTTGTTAAGACTTAATTGCCCACATTCAAGAGGAGAACCTGTCTGTCTCTAACAATGTAAGAGCTGCTGTACCTGCTAATGAAGTTATGGACAAGTTTAGCTGTAACTTAAGTGACCTTGGTTTCTACCATTTCTCTAAAAGCACATCTGCTTGTATCAAGCAAGTTGGCAGTTCCTGAGTGACAATTACTCTCAGCTGTGAAACGTGCACACGTTCTCATACCTGGTGGGAGATGGGGGTAGAGCGCAGCTTCTCGAAGTCCTGTAGGTCCTAGATGGGGAGGATCCCGAGATACATCCAGGGAGCTGGGACCCTCTGTCTCTGGCATCTGCAGAGACTGCAGTTCACCTGTGGAAGGATCCACTTCTTTGGAAGATAAGTGGGTCCAGTCCTCCTCACCCCCTGATGAACTGCTGGACTCGCTCTGTTCCTGAAATGGAAAGGGGCAATGTCTGGGTGCTGCAGTGCTTTCCAGGTAAGATGCATGCTCCCTACTATCTGCCTTTAATATGAAGTTACATCCACAAGAAGTCCCACCACCTTTGCTGTAAACTGGTAAAGCAAAGGTGCTGTTTATCACTTAATCTGCTGACATCTTAATAGTCAACCCCACAATGCATGCTAAATTATCATCTTCCTTCTTAGTAAAGCTGCAGCAAGCACTATTAAATTAGTGTCATAGTTCTTGTACCTGGGGTTGGAAGCTGCCATCTTCCATTTGTGTGGGCACAGGATCTATCACCATGTCTTGTATCTGCTCTGCAACAACATTTACTTCTGTAGCAGAAACTGTGTTACTCCAGTCTGGTTTGGTCTGAACATTCTGGTTAAGAGTACTGCTGCTTGACTCAGCATTGTTCTTCTCTTGATTGGGAGAAGCAGGAGTCACTTTGCTTCTCTGTCCTCCATGTTCCACATCAATATCAACTTCAATACCTGCAAGTGCGTTTGAGATGAACAAAGTCTTACAGAGGTTTTTCCAAAGCACAGTCCTAAATGAGCATGGGGCAATCCTGGTCTAAATGCTGCAAGGTTTCTGTAATCCTACAGTTTGCCATGTAACGTGCAGAAATTAATATGCAAAGCATTCTTTAAACAAAGAGTAGTTAAAACACCAAACAGTCATCTTCCTCTAGACAGACAAGCCATACATTTAGAGGGCCAGGGCAGAAGTTACCTATGTCCACACAAGCCAGGCAAAATCATGAGTCACCACTAACTTGTGCTACAGTGGTGACATGTTAGTGAAATCTTTCCTCATTTCCACCCAAAGAAGGGCTCTAAAAAGGTACTGAGTGGCTGTTCTAAGCCTAGGCAGCAATAAACTAAGCCTTCAAGGCTTAGAAGCATGAGGTTGTTCCAGTATCAGTCACAAAAGCTGATTGCTGCTCCTGTCAAAAGGACCTTTAAAACCAGTCTCAGGGATTGGGGTAACAAACTAAGTCACTTACCCAGGGGGCTCAGAAAAGCTGCAACACTCTCCCCAACATTCTTTAAGAAGGTGACGTTGGGGTCTTGAGGCTGGCTGTTAGTAGAAGCTTCTAGAAAAACAATTTCTGTTAGCACACATGGAAGCCGAGAAGGAAAGAGCACCTACAGAGTGTATCCCCAATCCCCATGAGATCTTGGTGCTTATTTCCTGTCACTCACATACACTGCACAACAAAGGCAGTATAGAAACAAAAACTGGAACAGAAAACCAGTGGCATTAGCATTGTTAAGGCTCATTAGCCATGCTGAAAGGTAGATCTGGAGTTGAGTAGCAACATGCTTGACCTAATAGCTCAGCTTGGTTTGGTTCCAGATACTCTCTCTGTATCCTCATTGATTGCATGGGCCCAAGCATGCTTTAAAATAATCCCACTCTGTGCTGAAAGGTGCTAATTATTTCAAGCAAACTAGATTAGTTCCTATGTCTATTTTTCCACCCAGATTCTACCCTCTGCTGCAGAACCTCAGCTACTCTGGCTCCACCACCACCTTGTTTACCAGGGCATCTCCTCTTACCTTCTGCAGTGGGTGGGCTGGAGGCTGCAGCACTGGCTTGGGCTTGTTCGGAGTTTTGGCATGGAGCTGCAGGGCCAGGATATCCCCAGCAGTGCATCCACGGGAAGGGTGGAACACCGTGCTGCATTTTACGGAGCCAGCGTCCTCGGGGAAACCACTGTAAAGGGTAATGTTCATGTGATTCTGTTCACACAGCCAGATTCTGAGTAACTGTAACTTAAGACTTAAATTTGAGGAATATCCCATTCATTAGTTCCCTTCCACAGATTGTCCTCACCTCAAATGGATTTAGCAGTGGACTTGGAAACATCACCATGTTGTGCTCCTTATGGATGCCTTTACCCTCGCAGGTGCTGCACAGGTCATAGTCTGGACAGACAGTGCACTTGAACCTGGCACCCACCACCGGTCCTTCACAGCCGTCACAGATCACGTTGGGGTGCACCATGTCACGGGGAGGCTCCTGGCTGCACTGCGAGCGATGTTCCCGCCTGCACTCCTTTTTCTCTATTAAGGAAAGGAAACTTTGCATCAAGAACAAGGTTACTATTTAAAGGCTGGAAATCAGGCAGAAGAGAAGGAAGTGCAAACAGCCCTTGTCAGATCAGTATTCATAGAATACCAGGTTGGAAGGGACCTCAATGATCATAACCTTTCTTGGCAAAAGCACCGTTTAAGTATTGACTTACTAGGTCGGTTTATTTTTACACTGTCTGCCAAACACAAGCTGAGGACATGTAAGAAAACTTAAACCAAGTGCGAAAGGGTTTCGCAAAGATACCTGTTCCTTAAACTGAGCATGCCTTATCCTTAACAGTCTCTTGGCATGTTTATTTTAGGTTAGTACTGCACTGCCCCATTTGGCTTCTCATCCTACCTTCCTAAGCACTGCAAGAACACAATGTTTCTTGAGAGGGAGTTAGGAATAAATGCCAGAAGCCGTAACAGAGAAGAATGGGGACCACAGCCATGCCTTGTGTGACTCGTCAGATGCACTGTGAATAAAGCTTTGGGGGTATCTATCCAAACAGAAGGGACTAGGGAGCAAGTATGTGCTGAATAAGCTGGAACTAAGGCTTCCTAACATACTGTATTAAAGATACCACTGCCAGGCCAGTGTTTACAGGGAGCCAGCATGACAACAGTGGCTTGCAGTGGGCCAGCTGAGACAATAGGGCTGGGAAGAAACCTGTCGTCATTTACCCCACCTCAGCAGGGAGGATTCAGATTCTGGCATATGACCCTGCCCTTTATTTAACGTGTCCCCCCCAAAAAAGCTGCAGCCTACACCAGGCCCTTGAGGACAAGGGGAAAGGCCAGGGCTGGCGTCTCCCATTTTCGGAGACAAAGCTGGAAACCTGCTACCGCCCTGGGGGGCTGTGCGGCGTTACCTTTGATGTAAACACGAAAGATGCCGTCCTGCACGTAAGGCATCGCCATCTCCAGCTCCTCGTCGGTGGAAAACGCGATCAGGTCCCCGTCTTCATCTAGGGAGGGTAAAGCGCAGGATTAGGCACCCGGTCAGGTGCCGCGGGGGGGGGGGGGCATCCCCGTGCCCTTCCCACCCCCAGCGACACCGACTTGGGGGTCTGACCCACAGTGGACCCCCGTGCCCTCCCGTCCCCCCTCACCCTTGTAGTGCATGCGGAAGGCGGGCGGCGGCCCGGCCCGCAGCAACCCCTGGAAAAGCTCAGCGACGCGGTCGTGGATGGCCTGGT